GGAAAGCAATAAGTAATAGTTAAAAAGTAAATATAGTTAATTAAGAAGGGGTACAGCAAGAAGAGGTTTAAGAACATAGTTAAGTAAAAAAAGAAGGTTTAAAGGCGCATAAAAAGATAGTTTAGTTAATTAAAAAAAGTAATAAAGAGAAAAAAAGTAGAACTATATTACTATAAAGTGTTTAGTACAGCCTAACGCATAGACAGAGGGAAGACTTAGCTGTAACGATCCTCATGAATCGTTCCATCTCGAGTCGCCCGGAACCTCCGGAAGGCCCTCGTATCGGCCCCGACCTCGACCTGGCCCCGACCCCTGCTGTTACCCCTATTCCCTCATGTATTTAGTCGCACCTCGCCCCTGTAGCTAGCTTAGTAGTTTTCTAATATCCTACGTACAAGGCCTATAGGTGTTATTAGTATTCCTAGGTCTCTAAGTCCCTACGCACTTCTATATGCCTCTAAGTGGATTTATACCGCATTTAGACCTATTGTCTTGCCTACGCTATTACATTATATTAGAAAACTTGCTTTTGCTAGTAACAGCCTTATTATAATATTATATTAATTATTTATTTAACTATGTCTAAGCCTAAGACGCGTCTAATTTAGTTTAGGTTGTAATTCTTTACACTATTACATTAAATTACTTAGTCTATAGACTAGATCCTATTAACCTCTAGTTAACTAAAGCCTTTAGGTTTAGAACTTCCTATCCCCTGCAATTAGAATTGCCTTTAGAAAAGTTGCATAGAGGCGCTAAGGTAGAAACTTAGAGACTACTAATAACCTATTAGGATTAGAGACAACTGCTAATGCCTAACTACTAACTACTCTCTAACCCTAGAGTTAAAGCACGCTCTAGGTAAGGCAAGCCCCTAGAGTTAATAAACAATCTATGTTAACAGCTAAACCTGCTTTAGCAGGACCTAAAGCTAGCCCCACCTAATTTAGACTTAAGCTACAGCAACATGTCTTAATAGACCTTAATTAACTACTAAATCACCCCTAACAATGCCTTAAATTATCCCTGCTACTTTAATAGCAAGAGACCTTTAAGGCACCCCTAACAACGCCTAAATGCCACTACACTAAACGCACGCCTAAGATTAATAACTGTACAGATAGTAATAAACAAAGGTCTTAATAATTAACAGGCTAGACATTTATACAGATTACTATTAGAACAGGCGCGCATGGCGTTAGGTATGGAGGACACCGCTAGCAGTGCGAAGGAATACTTAGCAAGGACACCTAGCTAAATTAGACTAGTTTTAGTTTAAGGATGCAGAGGACATAACAAAAAAAGCAATACTTTGTACTATAATTACTACTAATAGGGACTATTAGTCTACAGAGGGGGGGGTAGTGTAACAATCCTTATAAATTGTTCCATCTTGAGTCGCCCAGAACCTCCGGAAGGCCCTTGTATCGGCCCCGACCTCGACCTGGCCCCGACCCCTGCTGTTACCCCTATTCCCTTATGTATTTAGTCGCACCTCGCCCCTGTAGCTAGCTTAGTAGTTTTCTAATATCCTATGTACAAGGCCTATAGGTGTCATTGGTATTCCCAGGTCTCTGAGTCCCCACGCACTCCCATATGCCTCTGAGTGGATTCATACCGCATTCGGACCCATTGTCTTGCCTGCGCCGTTACATTAGCTAGTTAATAAAGGTAGACAAGCACCTATAGGGCAAGGTAGAGGATAGAGTAACTATATAGTGTTTAGTATAGCTTAAATTAAAGAAGTAAAAGAAACTTAGCTAATTAAAGTAAAAAAATTAAAAATAATTAAAAAAAGTTTAACTAAAAAAGAGGGGCCTATATATACCCTAGCTCTTACCTTAGTAGCAAGAGCACCTAACTAGACTAGAGTTTCTGCCTAGCAGTAAAAGTACATGTTACAAGATTATTTAGAAGAATATAAAAGGCACTAGTATTTAACTAGCATAAAAAATTATAACTTTTTAATTATTTTTTACTAATTATAACTAAAAGTTACCTAATTTAAAAGTAAAAGTAGGTAAAAATAAGTAAGATATAACATATATAAGTAATTATAAGGCATTAAATTAATAATAAGCAGGCTAGGTAGCAGCAGTAAATAAAGAAAAAGAAGAGTTTTACTAGAGTAAATGTATGTTGCATGTAATTAATTAATTAGTGTTATAAAGTTAAACTATGTTAAACAGCAGGTAGTAAATATAAGTAGATAGTTTATAATAATTAAGACACATAGCAACATAACATTACTATAATTAAGATAGCCTTAGCTTCTTTAATTTTTAACTATAGTTTTACTTTAATATAGTTAAGCCTTTATATAACTTTATTTACTACTACTATGTCTTTAAATTATTTAAGTAAGATATAAGCATTTTTATAGACTTTTTAAAACTATTAAACTAACAGGCATTATTATAATTAGAGAACCTTTAGAAATAGTAAGCGTGTAAAACTGCAATAGTATGCTAGTAACTAGGTAATCTATAGCTAAGAATTTATCTTAATACATGTAATATGTAGATAGGCTGTAGGTTAGATAAGGGCGTAAAAGCTAATACAAGGGGACTAGAGAGCAGTTATGTACCTAACACTGCGTAGTTATTAAAACTAGTAAGTAACTAACAGCGCATAGCGTCTAATTAGCTGCACTAAGTAAATAGTGCTTTATAACACTATTATACATTATAAAAGTGCTTACTGTAAGTATATATAAAATAAAAATATATAATTACTTTATTTATTCTTAAAAGCTTTATTAAAACTTTTATTAAAATTACTATTAATTAGATTATTAACTAAACCCTTAGGGTTACTATAAGTTGTGCTTTTAACTATTTCTATAAATTTTATTATATTAATATAAAATAACTTCTCTGTGCTAATGCTTACTAGATTAGTTACATCTAGTGCTAGTATATAATTACTAGATATAACATTACTAACATTAAAGTTTATAACTTTTAACATTAATAACTTAATACTACTAGCAATAATATTAAGGCTTATAATAGGCTAGAAAAGCTTTTAGTTAATTTAACTAGTTAAGTGCTTACAGCGCCTACAACTTAGCAGATAAATAGTAAAGGCAAATGTCTCTAGCTTAACATTATGCTATATATGCTTATTCTTACTTTTCTTTCTAAAGGCGCTCTTTATTAGCGCATAGAGTTGTATATAGAACTAGTAAAATAGTGTAAGATAACTAAAAGTAAAGTTTATATTATAAGTTCTATTTTTAAAGTGCTGCATGTTAAGCTTATACACATAGTTTATAAGCTTAAGCATAATATTAACTACTTAGAAAGTGTTTAGCTTTCTATATATATTAACTAACTTAGAGGCAAGTATAGACTACTAAAGTGTTAGAGTTAACACTTTATTTAAGACTAACTAGCAAAAGTGTAGCAGCTTAGTACTGTAGCGCTTCTAACTAGATCTAAAGAAAAATATAGCTAATAAATTAATTAAGTAATAAATAATTCTAATATTACTAAACTTAACTACATGCTATAGAGTAAAAAATATTTTAATTTTTTAAAAAAACTAACATGTTATTGTCTAGTTACCTTTAGAATTATTATAGCCTTTTTATGTAGTAAGTATAAAGACTTTCTTATATATCTACTTGTAAGGCCGGGATGGCGCTTACGTGTAAGGCCGAGATGGTGCTTACGTGCGACGGGTATATATACTATTCTGTACGCAATAATTAACGTTGGTTAATTATTTACACCTTTTTAGTTGTATTAGCGTAGTAGTACAGAGCTCTGTCCTTACATAATAATTAACTAACAACAAGGACAGTCGCGCGTTTGACCCACACCTTAGACAGCTTTGCTAGTTTTTAGACTG